TTGCCGTTGCAGGTGCATATCGAGTTGCAAGTGTTGATGTTGATGTTTATGTACTTCTCAATTTAACATTTTCATTGGTGACTTTAATTAATATAAATTAGTTGAATGATCGAAACCAATAGAAGGCTATATAATTTCGTAAGGCTATATAATTTCTTTATCAATGATCATAACTATAGACAATTGGTGTCTGCTTTCATTACAGACTTTGATAGATAATTTTTAGTTCAATGTTTCCATGGAAACGTTGAACTATTGTGATGAGTGGCGAAATTCAAGCGAGAGATACATAGAGTAAACTTTCCGGGGGAGTTACAATGTTGTCTCAATGCAATTTCTAAAAAAACTTCAAGGTTGGAGAATTTTTAACGTTAAAACGGTATTTATAGCAACAGTAAAATTTCTTAAATTAGATTTAGCTTGACTATCAATGTTTAAATTAAACGTCTACATTACAGCAATGTTAAAAGTTTACTGAGATAACAAATATGGGGATTCGTGCCATTAGCAACCCCTGTATCATCAAATTTTCGTGAGAACTGCAAGTCAGCAAAATCAGCAGGCACAAATAAATATGACGACGCGTATGAGTGCTGGTAGTCTAGGACCTGTATATGAGTTTGTATGCATTTCATTTACCACAGGTAATCTGAACTGTTTTAGGGTAAAATGACCATGGCGGTCAACATGGCATATGTGCCATAACCTGAATCCTGGACGAAAGACCTGAAAATGACCCCGCCCTGAAACGGCAGTGCCGACATAGCTCTAACTTCCGAAAAGCAAAAGCGACAGCCTTTCTGAAGTGCTTATAGTGTTTAGAAGGGTGCTTTTAGGGGTGGTTATTGGAAGGAAAAATTTGTGTAAGTATAATATTTTACAAGAAAATGACCATTTATCACCCCAGGTAAATTGCTGATTATGCAGAAAATAACTAATATACATGGCAGAAATTAAATATCCTTATTTCCTAAAAAAAATTACCATGGGATGAAAAACTATGCTTAATTTAATATAATTATTGCAGTTTTCATAAGGATAGTCACTGTTTTCTATAAATATAATATATTTTATTTCACTTACCCCCCACGAAAACACGATTTCAGCCATATTTTGCCGTCTTGTTTGCTTTATGTCGCCGTGTCTCGCAAATAACATCCAGTTGTTGTACTTTTACATAATGGGAAATGGCTAAAGGAGATTTCAACCAAGTTTCGGCAAGTTTTGGAGCAGTGCAGTGTATTTTATCTTCGATATTGTGTCCTTCGATATTTCGTCCATATGCCGCCATTTTAATGGCTCGCCGATTCTCTGCCCGATAAATGCCACTTCTTCGTCTTCATATGTATTTAGATTACAGTATCCAAAAGTACTTCATTGTAGAATAGTCCTAAATTGAAAAAATTACTTGCACTTTGAAGGAAAAAACCTCTCACAACAAATTCAGTATAGGAATAAAAACAAATCATTTGAAAGTCACGCGCAATCTTCGCGAAAATTCCTCGTGGCTACTTGACAGGGGGAGGGGGGCGAATATTTTCACGAAACGTTCCCACAGCAACCTAACTGGATGTCTGGATATATTATATTTATTGCATTTTTATGATTGATAATAAAAATACGTAAATATTTAATGTTTTTAATTTTTATTTTTAAATCATAAAATACAATAAATACAATATATTTAGTTGAAACTTGAATTGCTGTGGTGGCGAACAACGTCTCGTGAAAATATTCGCCCCCCCCCCTGTCAAGGAATTTTCGCGAAGATTGCGCGTGACTTTCAAATGATTTGTTTTTATTCCTATCCTGAATTTGTTGTGGGAGGTTTTTTCCTTCAAAGTGCAAGTAATTTTTTCAATTTTTCTTTTAGGACTATTCTACAATGAAGTACTCTTGGATACTGTAATCTAAATACATATGAAGAAGAAGAGTGGCATTTATCGGGCAGAGAATCGGCGAGCCATTAAAATGGCGGCATATGGAGGAAATATCGAAGGACACAATATCGAAGATAAAATACACTGCACTGCTCCAAAACTTGCCGAAACTTGGTTGAAATTTCCTTTAGCCATTTGCCATTATGTAAAAGTATAACAAGTGGATGTTACTTGCGAGACACGGCGATATAAAGCAAACAAGACGGCAAAATATGTCTGAAATCGTGTTTTCGTGGGGGGTAAGTGAAATAAAATATATTATATTTATAGAAAACAGTGACTATCCTTATGAAAACTACAATAATTATATTAAATTAAGCATAGTTTTTTATCCCATGGTAATTTTTTTTAGGAAATAAGGATATTTAATTTCTGCCATGTATATTAGTTATTTTCTGCATAATCAGCAATTTACCTGGGGGTGATAATGGTCATTTTCTTGTAAAATATTATACTTACACAAATTTTTCCTTCCAATAACCACCCCTAAAAGCAACCCTTCTAAACACTATAAGCACTTCAGAAAGGCTGTCGCTTTTGCTTTTCGGAAGTTAGAGCTATGTCGGCACTGCTGTTTCAGGGCGGGGTCATTTTTAGGACTTTCGTCCAGGATTCAGGTTTTGGCACATATGCCATGTTGACCGCCATGGTCATTTTAGCCTAAAACAGTTGAGATTACCTGTGGTAAATGAAACGCATACAAACTCATATACAGGTCCTAGACTAGGGGGCGAAAAGAAATTTGGCCGACTTTTTTGGATTGTGCCCACTGAGCTGTATAATAACTGGAGGACCTGCTCCTATACTTCGTTCAGTCAACAAAGTGTCGCCAAAAACATGGCGGATTTTGAGTGAAAATGACGCCATTTCCATGACAACACTTACTTTATTTTCATGGTAGGTACCACTGACCAGGCTCAATTCTGAGCCCACGGCCGTTTTCACCCCCCCCCCTGGTTTTTGTAAAAAAGTTTTGCAGATATTATCACAGAATAGATACAGGACCAGAAGTGTCACTCAGACGATATTTTGTCCGAAATTTTACGAGTGCTGACGTGAAAATACGTCATCATATGACGCCATCCTGGAGTGCACACGGAAGTTTTTCATAGGAAAACATAGGTACAAAGTGCCGAGTGCACTCCAGGATGGCGTCATAGCACGCAAAAAAATTTCGGACGTTTTTCTTCAGCCAAAACACAAAGGAGTGACACTTCTGGTCCGATATCTATTCTGTGATATTATAGTTCTCGTGGTTTTGAATCGGTTTTTAAAATTTTTTGATATAAATTTTCTACCTTTGACTATTTGGACAAAGATATGCAAGTCGTACGTGTTATTCTCGCCCGTGAAAGACGACAAACAAATTTAAAACCTCAAGAAATGTGGGAAAAGACTTGAATATGGATTTTATACAAAGGGTAATAAGAGACAAATTTGCATATTTCAATTTTTTAATATTTAGACTTTACGTCTTTACCTAATTTGACATGAAAATGATAAGCATAACGATGAAACTGACACTCTATTTGTCAATAAAACAACTTCCTGTGTAATACACATGGTAAAGTGTAAAATTTCCCACTATTTCACTATTAAATTTTAGCAAGCTGTGATTCATAATCGCAAAATATTTGGTTACAAACTACGAAGCTTTGTCAGTCACATATGTCATATACGAGGATTACGACGGTCTTTAAAGTGCGAACTGTCTAGTGTATTAATAATGTTTAAAAGGTAATTGACTCCCGAGGTCTCGTTTTATAAACAGACATAAACCTCATTTCCAGGATAGCCTGTTTTCTTACATGTTTTCTCAGTAAATATCACTCTGAATGAGCAATGTACCTTTATAAGTGCACTCATAGTTCTGATACCCCTGGTTTAAGTTGAGGAGTTAGGTCACATTCTTTTGTTTACTGTACCTTGATCATATGCTAATTATGTTACTGGTGTACTTTTGTACAACCTACATAATTAATCTACTCTTGTTTGTTGCTGATTTATTCCACAAAGACACACTCCTTTCTGGGTGGCAAGTTACAGTACCAAGCCTGGCAAGCCACACATATCTTTGGAAACTGAACATACTGTATTTTAATACATGCTTCCAAAAATTATGTCACCTTGGCTATATATAGAGTCTCATTTTCACGATTGAGACATTGGACTTTAACTCATGCCACATACATGAAAATGAGGGCATGTACTAAAAGCGAAACAACCGAACCGAAACGAAACGACCGAAACGAAACAACCGAAACGAAACGGCCGAAACGAAACGGCCGAAAATATAAAACACAGGAAAATTGAAAAATGCGGATACGGACGGACGGACGGACGGACGGAGGGGACAGGCGGATGAAACAACCGAAACGAAACGACCGAAACGAAACAACCGAAACGAAACGACCGAAACGAAACAACCGAAACGAAACGGCCGAAACGAAACGGCCGAAAATATAAAACACAGGAAAATTGAAAAATGCGGATACGGACGGACGGACGGACGGACGGACGGAGGGGACAGGCGGATGTACGGGGGAGACAGGCAGATGGACGGGGGAAGAGGCGGATGGACGGGTGGGGGACAGGTGGATGGACGGGGGAAGAGGCGGATGGACGGGGGGGTGGACAGGCGGGTGGACGGGGGGGACGGCTTCATTTGATACGAAACTGATATTTAAAATCAAATCCGCGTTTTGTTGAAAGGGATATATTAGGATATATTATAAAAGACTATTATTAATCGTAATAAATTGTCCGCGAAAAGTTGATAAAATACATGTGGAAATCGGGGTTTTTCGAACCTTCGTTACGCTTGATCGGATAAAACGCGGATATGCTGCAACTTTCATGCTTAATTTTCTCAGTCATCTGGGTATGAAGTAATCTAATTTTATGCAATGTAATGTGTTATATTTTCAAGGGCTTTTCAATGCAGTTATCGGTTTAAATATACCTAAAGTTCCCGTTAAGATATGACAATTGCCGTACGGCCTACTTTTACGCAAACGAAAATTAGCTACAATTGCCACTTTCATGCTTAATTTTCTCTATTATCCGGGCATGTAGTAATGTAATTTTATGCCAATGTAATGTGCTGACATTGGCATAAAATTACATTACTACATGCGCAGATAATATAACAGAGAAAATTAAGCACCCGAAATTTGCAGTTGTAATTTGCGTTCGCGTAAAAGTAGGCCGACGGCAATTGTCATATCTTAGCGGGAATTTGAGTTATATTTAAACCGATAACTGCATTGAAAAGCCCTTGAAAATAGCACCTTACATTGGCATAAAATTACATTACTACATGCGCAGATAATATAACAGAGAAAATTAAGCACGAAATTTGCAGTTGTAATTTGCGTTCGCGTAAAAGTAGGCCGTACGGCAATTGTCATATCTTAGCGGGAATTTGAGTTATATTTAAACCGATAACTGCATTGAAAAGTCCTTGAAAAAACAGCACATTACATTGCATAAAATTAGATTACTACATACCCAGATAACAGAGAAAATTAAGCATGAAATTTTTGCAAATTGACCATTAGTAATATTCCAAAGTTTCGTTGCGAAATGTTGTAAAATGCGGAAATATAGCCTTGCGAAATTTGCAATTTTCAGTCATTTTAGATTACAAATAGGAAATTGACAGCCCCAAACCCTTTGAGGCTGTCAATTTCCCGTTTGTAATCTAAAATGACTGAAAATTGCAAACTTCGCAAGGCTATATTTTCCACATTTTACAACATGTCGCAGCGAAACTTTGGAATATTATTAATTTTGTGATGCTCTTTCAAGCTGTGATGAAATTTTTGTCTAGACTTGTTTAGATCAAAATTTAGTCTATTACACAAATGGTCAATTGTAGCTGAATTAAATTTTCGTTTGCGTAAAAGTAGGCCGTGCGGCAATTGTCATATCTCTTAACGGGAATTTTAGGTATATTTAAACCGATAACTGCATTGAAAAGCGCTTGAAAAAATAGCACATTACATTGCATAAAATTAGACTACTACATACCCAGATGACTGAGAATATTAAGCATGAAAGTTGTAGCATATCCGCGTTTTATCCTTATATCAAGCGTTACGAAGGTTCGAAAAACCCCGATTTCCACATGTATTTTATCAACTTTTCGCGGACAATTTATTACGATTAATAATAGTCTTTTATAATATATCCTAATATATCCCTTTCAACAAAACGCGGATTTGATTTTAAAATTGAGTTTCGTGTCAAATGAAGCCGTCCCTCCCGTCCACCCGCCTGTCCCCCCCCCGTTCATCCGCCTCTTCCCCCGTCCATCCGCCCGTCTCCCCCGTCCATCCGCCTGTCCTCTCCGTCCGTCCGTCCGTCCGTCCGTATCCGCATTTTTCAATTTTCCTGT